TCAGTTTGGTGTAATAGCAAAAATTGGACCCATTACCATAATCTGAGACTCTATGACTACTGTTAGATCCCGGAACATGCTACCAAAGAAATTTTCAGAAATAGCTTCCCCAGAGATCTCAAAGAATGAAAAGAAAATACCATCTCTTTTACTGAGTATAGATGGGAAAAAGCCCTGGACTGGGAATAATTCCTAACTTTTGTGGATCTCAGTTTTCTCATTGGCAAAATGGTATTGGACTAAATAACTCTGAGATCCATTCTGGCTCTAAATCTGTCATCTTATATAATTTCATATGACTTCCAGTCCTTAGATGTTGTAGCATGATAATGTAGGAAGAACATTGACTCTACAGTCAGAGGACCTGTTTCAAATCCTGCCTCTGGTTCTTATTATCTGATTCTGGATAAATGTCCTCAACACCCCTGGGCTTCATTCTCCTCACCTGTCAAATTAGGGAGTTGTACTAGATGGCTGGCCTCTGAATTTCCTTCTAGTTTTACATTCACCGTCCTGTCATCTGCCATTCACTAGATGTGTTACCTTGGGCAAGTCAGTTTTCTTCTCTGTTAGTTTCCTCATTTGTAAAATGAAAAAGTTGTTGTGTGGTAGAGAATTTCTAATTACTTTGCAATCTTTTCTCTGGCTCCTATGATTCATTTCAGTCAGCTGATACTATAATCACTGGCAGAGATATAAACAGTATTGACTGGTACAGTTTATTCAAAAGATAATTTTCTTTTAATAGAAAAGGAAGACTGGGTGTAAGGCCATTTTTCTTTCTGAGAAACTAACATAGCATGCTCATGATTCTAAAACTATCTGGTTGAAAACTTTAAAAAGCATTTAAACTTTTTCTGTCATGTTTCTTTCCTTACCATCACCACCCTCTCCCCCCCCAAAAAAAATAATATTTAGGATCACAGTAGTAGTTTTAAAATAAAGCCAAACTCATTTGTGCATGATTTTCATGACCATTAAATATTAGAATAAGCTTCATATTTTCAGTAGATTTGAAATACTTTTAAATTTAACTTTTTATTTATCACTATTTGTATTTCAGCCACCAACTACACAACTAAGTCTTGAAGAGGAAGTCTTTAATTTTGTACATTCCAGAGTTCAGATTCAAAAGTCATAGATTACCTCTATTATCTTAATTCATATGCTCTTGCTTCTCTGTTGTTTGTGATAAGCAAATTCTATAAAGCAATAGACCTAAAAATCTATAGGGTCCAACAGTTGGGTCTGAAGTAGAAAATATTGGAGGTTAGCAAACAGATTTGAAAAATCAAGCATTTTATATTCTGAATTTCTTAGCAACTCAGAAAGTTCCTTAGCTAAGAAATGGTGTGGCTTTCCCTTGTCTGGTTTCCAGTCATAAGTCACTTTATTTAAGTAAAGGAATTTTAAAGAGAATTAAGGAAAAAATTAACATTAAAATTTAAATAATATAAGCCACTGAAAGGAATAAAAAAGATCAAAGTGAGGATGATTATAATGATAGCTGATATTTTATAGGGTTTTAAGCAAAGTATTTTCTTCATAATAACACAGTGAGGCAGGTAGTGTATTATCTCCATTGTACAGATGAGAAAACAGTGAAACAGGTCTGACCTGTGGTGGGTCAGGCAGTTAGTGGGAGCTGAAATTCAAACCCAAGTCTGCTAACAGCAAGAATCAGTGCTCTTACTATTCAGTGACTGAATTTTGTCTGAATTGATTATGTCAGTGTGGGGGAAAATCTTTTTATAAATATATCATGTTTTTAATGTGAAAATAATTCTAGACAGAATTATGTTTCTATTTTGCTAATGGAGTTTTTTTCATTTGTAAAAGAGTCACAAAAAAGAATGATACATAAACGAGTCAGTTTGCTCTTAAAATAGATTATTGAGTTTGAGACTGTATACATTTATAGCTTCCTTTTTTTAGCCAAATGGTTCAGGTTTCACTTTGACAAGAGTTATTGCCTTAATTCATATTTTTTGTAATATCTTATTGTTTAAGCAGAGAACTTAAACGTATCTTGGTACCTGTTTTACAAATGCCCTTTACTTTAAAAACAAAACAAAACAAAACAAATTATTCCTACATAAATATTCTATGGAATGAGACTCTTCTAAAATGCCTTTTGATGTAATTCTATTAACAGTCCAAATAATATAAGACCTTCATTTTAGGGCCACAAAATGAAATGCCTTTTGGAAAATTATCAGCTTTTTGCTATCTAAACATGTCAGAAGCATGTTTTCTCTTAGCAATTTTATCTGAGATAAGTCCTTAAATGAAAATGACTGACCATCTCCTGGTCCTGGCCCATTCTTTAGTGTATGTTTATCAAAATCATATCACATGTTAATAGGTGCTATTCACATTCTAAAAAAATCTAGAACTTGGATGGAAATATGTGATCAAAGTAATAGGGTGTTATATAACATAGTGCAATTCTACCAGTTTTGAATTTGGGCGAGAATGATAACATGAAAAGCTGCCACAAGCAGGGGTGTTGTTTCTAAGCTTGGCAAAGGCTTTCTTCACAATAACCCTGTAAGGGGAGTAGGCATTCTTTCACCCTCCTTTGTATTCTTACAGAATCTGCCATAGTATGTCCCATTCAATAAATATTCATTGAATAGTTGCATCTAAAACTTTAATTTTTGCATTTTGAATAAGGACCCAAATTTAGCCAGCTATATCTAAGTACAGGGCTTGTGCATATATTGTCCAGCTTGACATACTATTGTCTGGTATGCATTTGTTCTATACTTGTGGCTTTCCCCTCATAAATAAGTTTGGACATAGTTGTTCATTATGATTGTGATTAACATAGCATGGTAGTCTTCTTAATATCTTCTATCCAGTGTTTAGCAAAATGCATATGAATTTATGTTTTGTTAGAAGTTGTCCAGTGCATTGTATGCTTATGTGTTAGATGCAGTAGGGGCTTTCATTAAACAGCAGGATATTATTAGGCATAGCATGACAAGTCTTTATAGTTATCTGCCTTGTTTAAACTGGACCCACAAGCAGACCGTGGACTAAAAGGGTGAGCAATGAATTGAGAGTTGATGGCAGGCCCATAGAGGTCCTAAGGCTCAGGTGGTTGTCAGCCATAAGTTTAGCTGAGCTCTTTCAGTAATTTGTCACGCCTTGGTCTGCTCCTGCTGCGCCAGCACGTGCCAGCTTAGTGTCAGAGTGCCTGTTCGCCAGACGGCCACTCAGGCCTAACATCCTGCTGTTAACAGGACCAGCGGCTTGCTGTGGCAGTATGGAATACAGAGCCTTGGCAACAGCCAAGTACTGTGCAGAATAAGCATGTTCATAATGAGATGTGAATGGCATCAGTCAGTCCCTTTAGAATAGGGCCTAAGCGTGTGCCTCCTCTCTTAGGAAGTTTGGCAGCCTATTCATTAACAAGAGTCATCAGGAGTTCAGCCTGCGAGAGCGAAACAGCCCCACTTTCCGAATACTTGGACTGTCAGGACTGTTGTGGGGTATAGTTTTGACAAACCCATGATGCATCATGAGTTGCTAGTTTTGCAGTCCTCAAAATTAATTTTCTTTCCGTGAAGTTTCATAAAGGTAGCTTATAGAGAAATTCTAGTATGCTCGTATATCTCTGGATAGTGTGAAAATCTTTCTCCAAATAGCTGAGTAAAAGCAGACATCTGTGTTTAGAAATATCAGTACATATACTTTATCCTTCCCAAAGAAATTTTAAAGTATCTACCCCTGTTTTAAATGTGAGGTGTTTTATTTAGGCCATATTTTCTATTAACATCTAGAAATAAGATTTTATTTTTCTAAGTAGATACTTCAAAAATATGAATCATTAATTCCATTTTTCTCCTTACTAACATGAAAATTATAATTTAGTAGTTATCAAACCTTTTTTTCTTCCTATAGTATTAGAATATTTTTCAAAATAACTAAAGCATAAGAAGTTTTGTGGGTAGTTTGGGGTTATTTCAGCCACTGCTTTCTTACTGCTAATGAGGAAAGAGGAATGAGATGTCATACTGACTTCAAGTGTTAATTCATAAAGTCGTATGTGAGGTTCTTCCATCCATTGTAGAATTGTTTCAGACGTTATCCTGTTATTGGAAGTGCATGATTCACCTTCTGAGAAAACAGAAGCTGCACACAAAAGGAAAAGATTTGCTTTCTACCCTGTGAAAAGCTGCCACAAGCAGGGGTCCTATTAAGACAGCTGGAAAGTTGCTTCAGCTTGTTACGCTTGTAAGTTTTATTGGTGACTGGTTTTTGATTACACATTTGAATGCTGTGTGTTCCCAGTTGCAGTTTTAATTAAAAGGCAATAGTCTTTTTTTTTAATTGCTTTGTAGCCTGCATTTCCTAGGTTGAACTACACATAAGGTATTATTTTCTAGTACTTATAGTTTATGTTAGCTATCACTTCTGGAGCAGTTTATATATATAAAATCTTGCCTTGATCTAGAACTTTCTCAGTTATGTCTATTTTCTTAATTATAAGAAAGATCCATTATCCAGAGTGCTTGAAGTATATGAAAAGACTGAAGATTATCAGGAAATTACTGTCTATTGAAAGAAATAAAAATTCTACTGCATATAAACGCTATACCAGTACTCCTAAATTTATAATATTTTGCTTATTTAAAAATGTGTTATTTGCAGTACTTTTTTTTCATTTATATGAATTTTAACAATAAGTGTGGTTTTTATTCGTTTTATTAATGAGGTTGGTGATGAAACAACCATCAAAATGCTGTAGAAACTTAACACAAAATCAAAATGTTATTGCAACTCATAACAACATTTAGGTCTTCGTGACAGTCATTTCAACCCCACAGCTCTATAGAATTTGGAAGAGATCTTTCCCACATTAAAAAGATATGTTTGCGCATTTGTGTTTCACAGATGATTTTAAATAATGAACTGTTAACATTCTTCTGCATTTGGTAGTAAGTAGCATATTTGTTCTGTCGATGCACTTGTTCCTTAACTGATGGCTGTAGTTATGAAGAACGAGCTCTGTATCTTGAAGCAATAATCCAGAATCACAGAGAAGTAATGACATTTGAGGATTTCGCAGCTCAAGTCTTTTCTCCCTCTCCTAGTTACTCCCTCAGTGGAACGGGTGAGTGTCTACATTATTCTTCTCTTTAACACTAAGAAGCATTTGAGCAGCAGATGTACACCTGTTTTTTACAGATAAATGCGTGCAAATTTAAGAAGGGCATTCTCTCTCTGAATAAACTAATGAATATCAAAAGGAATGATGACATTCATTTTAATTTGTTTTGCATCAGAGCTGTTCACTCAGTTCCTTTCTTCAGCTATCCTGTTAACCTCCGAATCTAGCAAGGTTAATGAACTTTTTCTCAGTAATGTGCTCCAGTTCATTCAGGAGTGTGGGTTTCTTGCTGAGCTGGGAATATGTTGTTCAAAAGCTATGCCTGAATCAGTGCTTACTTATCGAAAAATAGTTCCTCACAGTAGAAGCCGTTGCTACTAATGCTAAATGGGGATTATACTGCTGAGATACCAGGGTCAGGGATTAATGCAGAAGAAATCTAAGGATAGTGTTCCTTTGACCAATCATAACAGCAGTGCAGTGTGCTAACATTTTCTCTGGAGTGGTTTCTATGCATATGACCAAATTACAGGCTCTAGTAGCACCTGGTATGGAACCTTGTTTGAAAACTCTCTTAGAACCATTTCTTCTATCAAGCTGGTTGACATTTGGAGAAATTTCTGTGACTCTATGCCTTATTTGACATGATAGTTTTTTTAGATTTCCAAAGCTGAAAAGAAAACTGTACTGCTACTTGTTATTGGTGTTATTACTAAGAGCTTTTGTTTTAAAGGGCTGTATTTAATTGGGTTAGTAATTTCTGTACATCAGTACAGGAAAAAAATCACTCATCAGAGAGATTTAGTGTGTATTGAAATTCTCAGTAAGGAGCCCCCTTTAATTTGGACTGCTTTACACACAACTGTTAGAGTGCTTAATAGATTTCTAACATGTATAAATTGTTTCAAAACACTGGCTTTATTTCTCTTACTCTGACTTGTTAACAAATATCTTACATCCACAGTGAAGAAAGAAATTAAATTCAGTGAAATAAATCACTTACAAATAAAATCAACCATGCATCATTGTTTAACATTACTGGCTTCAATCCTTGTGCTTTCAGAGCTTTGTTAGGAGATAAGAGGTATATATGCATGCGCTCGTATTGGTAGCCAGTAGCAGCAGGCAGAAGGCTTTGGAGATAAGCAAGCTGGCAAAAGTAAAGGGGAGCCAGTGCTATTTACATAATCGTGCCTCTGCTTCCTGGAGAGGCGTCAAGAAACACAGGGATGGCCTCTATTGATCTTTGTTGAACTGGAATACTAAACAACATTAGAAAAGCTTATAACTTAAAGCTTTGATTAATGTTTCCTACATTAAAAAAGTAGAACAGCTGTGAATTGAATTCTTTTATACATTCTGCCAGCAGACGAAGATGGAAAAAAATTAGTTTCAAGGGAAATGAAGGTTTCATACTGTTTAGCTGGACACTTTAAGTCATTTATATATTTAGGAAAAAGAAAATTAAAGATATGCAGCAAAGTCAACAAATATTTTTCAAGTTCTATTTAACATCCTTTTCATCTTCTCATCAATCATTGGCACTTTATTATTCAGCACAGTTCTATCTAGTAATTTTGTGTTTTCCCTTATTCTAGTTGAATTAGCAGCAGCCTAAACTGTTTACAATCTAATTTTAAAACATGAATTTGGAAATGTAACTAAAAACTGAATGTTTACATTCCTTAATAAATTACTGTTGCTTTTTTTTTAATACTCTTAACTGAAATGTTTAAATGATTAAGAAATAGATAATATTTTACGTATACTTTTATTATATTTAATTCTTTCAAAAGTTGTTATATGTTCAAAAAGTTACATGAGGAGTCAGAAGATGAAAAAAGGAAACTACTGACACAAAACATATCTAATAAATTATTCGAGTTTTACATTAATATCACTTTATGGAGGTTTCAAAGTAGTATTTTCAGCCACCTACTAGTTTATGAAAATATCTTGATGAGATGAATACCTCAGCAGAACATAAAGTTTTTTCTTAGAAAGCTTTGTAAATAGAAATAAGAAGATAAATCCATGATATCAAAACAAAATGCTTGTCTTTGCCACCTTTTAAAAATGACACCATCCAAATTGCATTTCCTAGTTTGTTTATTCTTTTTGAGGATTCTATGTTTTGTAATAAATTAAATTCCATTTTGTGATAAATGTAAGCATTACCAATACACAAAAATTATGATGTAAGTGTTCCTATACCTTTTTATATCATCTTTATTATAGATTCAGTTCTATCCATTGTACTGATGTTCTTACTCTTGTCATTGCTTAAAAAATTTTTTACATTACCTGTTCTGAAGTGTAATTGTAATATAACATGAGTGGGAAAGTATAGCATACTATAGAGGCAGATTCTTAAATCCATAATCTAAAATCATCTGCATGCCACATATATTGTTTTTATTCCCTTCATGTCTACTTTTAAAATTCTTCTCCTTGCAATATGCTAAAATAAAGTTTGCCAATGAAAAGAATTTCTTCCTATTAGTAATATTTTGCCTTATATTAGAATAAATGAAATAACCCAAATGAATCGACCATTACAATAAAAAATATATTTAATTCTCTTGTAAGCAGCAAGCCAACTGGAAAAATTGATCCTAAAGAGTCTAAGCTTACACAGTGAACTTAGAACTTCTTTACCTCTGTCTCTTCCCACCAATATCTTCAAAGCAGAAACTTATGGTCTACGTATATGTGCATATGTACAGTTCTAGACATGGATGGGTCTCCTGCAATTTTCTTTGCTTTAGAACAACAGGGAATTTTGTCATGAATGTAACATTATACTTAATTCTAGGCATTATCATCCACACTATATACCTGCAAGCAAATATCACCTAATCACTTTATGCCCCATGTCTTGAGAGGATGTCTTCCGATCCTTTAACTCTCAGCAACAATCAGAGTGCAGAAACGGGTGTTGTCTGTGCCCGTAGCTGACGTTCTTCATAAGATGTATCCACCTCAAGCTCCTCATACATTCCATCACTCATCTAACCATGGCAAACTTTTGTTGAAGAGCCAAATGGCAGTAATAATGTCTACCTCATCAAATACATTTGGACTTTGAAAAAATACTATAGAACACTTCATTGTTCAACTGATACATTATGTCCTCTACTTTTTAAAAGCAAATTTGGAAGTCAAGAAGAAAAAGCTTTATTTTTCAAATTAGAAAATTTCATCTTAACCTACTCTAATATATTTTACTTTTGTTGAACTGAATTCTTAGCATTTTATATCCATCACCAAAAAGCAAAATGAGCCCATGTCCTTCCAAACAGATGTACTAAAGAATTGTCATTTTTATTCATGTGTATATTCTGTAATACACATGTGAGCTCTATTTAGTTAAGTATGTTTCCTTTTTTTATCTTATATTTTACACCCTTTACTTGAGAAAAAGTATTACTTTTCAGAGAATGAAGTATCTGTCTTTTGTCTTAAAAATGTATTTGCTTCTCTGTAAAGTGACATTTTAGAAAAGATTAACTTAAAGCAAATTCTAACTTTGCATTTTCAAGCATTGTATTAAGAAAGATGAAGGAACAGATAGTACTTTAAAGGGTTAATTGGAATGGGCACACTTGACTGCTGAAGGGACTGATCTAATCACTGCCATATCCAAGTGCATCTGTTCACCATGAGGTCATTCTTCTGCATGCTAATGATTTGGAAAATAAAGCGTAATGCTTGACATTATCAGAAAGGATATAAATAGTGTAAATCTTTACTTTAGGAAACCTACTGGTTTGTTTTTGTTTTTTTTTTAAGGAAAGTAAAAGACAAAAATTAACAATCTCAATTTAGAATTTGGGGGAGAGTCCTCTAAATATTGTTTGAACTGAAAGTGAGTTCTTAAGACAAATCCAATTGTATCTGTTAATAAATGAATTTTAAAGGATTACTACAGTAGTATCCAATAGTATGCTGGTTATACAATTAAAAGTATATCTAATTTCTGATTTTTAGAACGTTGCAAGGACCTTAACTAAAAGTTTATAGAGATGATTTTTTTTCCAACCAAAATTTCTAGGGGTGATTGAATTGAACTAATTCTTTTAGGTTCTTTTTGAACTCCACTTTACTAAAGATTCCAGCAACAGCAACAATAAAAAAAATTTTTGTTTTAATCATTTCTAATGTAAGGTTTCTGAATAAAGCCAGCAGAGGGAGCACAAATCTGTTTATTTGTTGACCCTATATAAACGTGTCATCTAGTTTAAGGAGAATGAGACCTATTTTCCTGGTGACAAATTGATAAATTTAAAGGAATGAGAAAGCAGTTTTCACTACTCCCAGTCAGATTATACTAGTTTTACTATAGGTCAGATTTTGAGCTAAAAGAAGATTAATCTTAATCATTCTGTTGTTAATATTTTTGTTAAAATTTAAAAGAATATAATATGTAGTAGTAATAAGCACAGACTTTTCTTCTCAGCTTCTAGAGTATGAATAATTGCTACTTGATTGTCTCTAATTACATCTTAGGAACACTCTTGGAATTCACATCATAGGTAAAATTTATTGTACTCAATGTACAAAAACATTCACTAATAAGTGTCTCTGGATACAGTGTCTCTAGACTTGCCAATGAAGGAAAAATGAAATAGATTACATCTTTATTCTGCTATATAAATTCTTCACATATTGTACTTGGAACTCATTGACACTTAGCCATATGGATCTTCTAAGAAACCTACACAATGAAAAGACTTTAATTTCCCATAATATTTCAGTAATGTTTTTCTACATGCAAATTTCTGTCTTGTCTTGAGTATATTAGCTACTTTTAGCTAGGTTGTAAGCTAGATTATTCCCAGGAGAACACAATGTCCCTCCAAAAGATCTCTTAAATTGAAAAGATAGTTGTTACAAACCTATTCCATCATTCTCCTTCCTGTTAATACTTCCAATTAGTTTTAATTGATCTTAGTTTTTGTGGATTCTGTATGATGTGGACATGTCTTTTCATTTTGATGAGA